CAAAAGAACCATACATATTCTTTTGAGGCATGTATTGACTTTTCAATTATCAACAAAAATACCTCATTGTCACTGTTCTTCTTAGTGAACTTTTTCAGTTGGTAGGAATTTTTTCCATGATTTTCCTTTCCCAACCTGATGATGATCCCAAGAAGTTGAAGCATGTCGCTATAGGTAATTGAATTGTTATAATTGATACAATTTTGGAATGGGACTTATGTTTCTTTGCACATCATCAACTTCAATTTGAGCATGGATTACTTATTCGAAATTATAATAATATATATTGTCTATATTATAGTATATATTGTCTATATTATAGTATATATTGTCTATATTATAGTATAACCAAATTTCCAGTCACTTCCAGACAGGAAGAGTGAATCTCGAAATCATCTTCATGACATTAATTAGTCGAACATAGTTATGTTACAGTTGGGGGGAAATTTTTTAGGCTTATAATAAGCCCATCATCAGCCAAGGTTCTGTAACGTCCTACAATTATGAAAAGTATATAGTAACAGGAACATGTTAACAACTGATTTTTTTTTCACATAGTTTCCACTATTGTGGGATGTTACAGAACCTTGGCTGCTGATGGGCTCATCATAAGCCCGAAACATGTACTGCCAATTTTAACATAACTCCGTTTAACTATTTAATGTCGTAGAGATGATTTTGAGATTCACTCTTTCTTCAAACACTTCCACTCCACTTTGAGCAGTATGGACTTCTCCACATTTTCGATAAAATGAGTGCTGTTCCTGAGGGCAGTCAGTAGCTATTATTTACATCAGAAAATTCAAACTTGAAGAATGAAACGAAATATTTGTAGAACTGTTCATCATCGCACAGATCAAGAAGAATATTCTGAGTCTGTATAGAGATCAGTCAGAATCATTTTGGTTCACGTCGATAACAATTGGTCCAACTGTCACCCCAATGTGATTATTTTCTCCCTCTTCTTCCGTGTGTTTGATGCAATTTTTCCACAAAGTTGCATCAACGGCCAATATAGCTTTCACTAATAATTTCTTCACATCTTTCAATATGAAAGTCACATTATGATGGGCACCATATCCCTCCACTTGGTCCAGAGCAACTCAGTATGGTTCAACTCACAATGATGGGGTGACCTTCGTAATAATGTTATGGCGCGAGGAAAAGCCATTTTATCCACAGCATATTTCGAATGTTACAGTTTATCTTGTTTTGCAAGTGATAAATGCTCTGATTCCAATAATCGAAGAGAATACCTTTGCTGTCAAACCATGCCCCATTTTCTCCTTTTCGCCAAGATATCGTTGGTTAACGTTCAAGTCGATGACTGAATTCTCAGGAACTTTACTAAGTATTTTGGGAACCATTCTTCGAAAACTTCAGCGTTCATCTCCTCTACCATGAGGTAGTCTAGGACTCAAATAGAAGGAGTCCATCATCTACGAAGCCATCAGCACTGCCTATATGCGTCAGTATCAATGGACGACCTTTTCCAGATGGGTTCTTCAAACCAGTTGCCAATCCTTCCTAAAAACGCTTATCTTCTGCTGCGAAAATCTCCATCCTGCCATACTTTCAGAACAGTATGGCCTTCATGAAGCCAGACCTCATCTGGAAAGAAAATATGTTTTCTGCTCTCTCTTGCAGCTTTCATACTGCGTAAATACTTCGTACGCCAAACAATGATATCTTCCTTGTCAGTGAGGACGCTTTCACGGTTTGGTTTCATAAAACGAAAGTTGATTTTTCTCAATCTTCCCCACAAGGTTCATTGAGTGGTATTGGTAAATCAGGATCTTCATGAATAGCGGTCAAAATTTTCTTCAAAGTCAGTAGTTTATTTTTGAAAATGAAAGAATGCACATGAAAACGAATGTTATTTGTCTCAAATTCATCAAGCTTTATTTTCCCTCCTTCCACTATGCTCTATGTGCGCAATAATTATTTGATGAGCAGTTTGGTGAATCAGAAAATGAATCGAGAATACAGATGATACATTTTATGCTACTACTAGGATAATTATTAGCCAGAACGATAAAATTAGGTATTCATGAGTTAGTGAAGATTCAAGTTCATATAATGTCAAGATTTCAAGAAATGCGTGATATCTTGAGATAGTCAACACACATCCTCGTTTGAAAGAAGTAATGATTGCAAATCGAAATAAAAATATTGTATAATATCTTATACATCGAATGATGAATAATATCATGCATTTGTGGTGGTAGATTTTTCCCAAACGAATCTAACTTGTATACTAGCTTCGTCTCCTCCTATCCTAATAGCAGTATTAATTATCCGAAAATGAGTTAGCTCCTAATGCATGGAAAATATGAAATTCGAAAAATCTTAAAATGATATCATCTTCAATCGAGAACCTCCAGTTTCGATTCTGAAATGATGTCATATTTCAGTAATCAAAATATTCGCAAGTTCAGGCTCGCAATACCAAACGCCCAACATTTCAGTGAATATGTCAGTTTCACATATAGTTCAGTAAAGTTAAACATGAAAAAGGGGTCGTGCTTGCAAAAGGTCTGGTCGTTCTGAATTTCTTATATGTTAATTGTTAGGACCTAAACCAATATTGAAAAACCAGATTTGCAATTTCCAAACTGCTGTGCGAGCGGCGGTATACCCAAAAAACAATGGAATTTCCAGACTTTTTTCAGTTTTTGCTCAATATCTTAGAGAAGGAAGGGTTTCACCGGTATATTCACCATCTATACTTTTGAATTAAACTAGATTTGCTATAATTAGAGGCCGCCAAGATGAGCTCCATACAGCTCTTGCTTCCCATGATACAGTTCTTTGAAAATAGGCAATTTTTTAGAAAAAGTGGAATTTCTTCAAAATGGTTACATATTTTGTGAGTTATCTTCTATAATACGCTTCCCACGTGAAATATCATATGTAATGAAGTTATTTTTGGTATTATTGAAACATTTTGTGATGAAAAATGGAAAAGATAATACAGGGTGACTTTTTCTATATGGTATGAAAACAAAATTTGAAGTGTTGCGATAATATTAATTATTGGTTTTGAAAGTACAGGGATGCGGATTCCACTTCTCAAACACAATGTTGTTCGAATGTCGTTCATCCTTCTCATAGCACTCCTTCAATGATTTTCTTGAACGTTGGAATACCCGCTGACACATATTCCTTTTTCAATAGGAATATTGTTGCTTGCCTGTCGAATGTTGTATTCTTATTTATTCGTAGTGGCTATAGGATCGGAGTAGACGATGCTCTCTATCCCCACAAAAAAATCGAGGGGCGTAAGATCTGGCGTTTTTCTCGGGGACGTGGTATCACCAATTTTCTAAAAACTCGCCGTGCCGTGACATCGGAATCGTTAGATTTAAAAAACGCCATGTTTTTTGACAATCCGTACAGAGTCGCCGCAATTAACCAGCGCTACTTCTCTCACAACTGTTGTACAGGGCGCATGCGAAAAGGAAAATTCACTCTGTATATCTTCCAGAAATAACGCCATTATCAAACGTTGTTTTATATATACGTACATACTAAAATGCTTCCACGAACATCATGGTACCTACTTCCAGGAAAAATCTTATCAGCGTAAACATCAAATAAAACTAATATAAAACATGTAGTTATTGTGTCAGGTAGCCAAATCATGACTTTCTTCTCATCTTTGATGGCCCGGACTTGAACTCGCACGAATATGGTGTCTCGATGGCTGTGATGAATGCTGGGAGAGGCGCCCAATCGGTAGTCGGGTCATCTTCATCATCCGAGCATTTCAGCTCTACACCTGGGACGTTGGCGCACTATTTGCCACCGCATGACTGGCAGAGGACAGAGTAGTGGAGCCCTGCCTTTCTGCCCGTACAGCTCCCTGGGCACCCTTTTTTGCATTTACATGAGATCTTCCGCAGAAAAGCAAGAGGTGCGGGATCCATGGTGGTGGGGATGGAAGTAAGTCCCTAAGAAGACATCTTCCACCCACAATCTGTAAGATTCAAGTTTACTTCCCGCCACTCCTGCACTTGGAGGTAGCACCTTGCTGCATAATGGCCTGCGGCATCTTATGTCGGTGGCAATAGAGCGGAGTTCATGCTCGTTGAAGTAACAAACGTCTTATCCCTCAGGAAATCCAAAGTATCTTTCGCGATATCACCCTCATATAGAGCCACAAAGCATTTGATGCCTGCTTCTCTCACGGCTTGTGGGGTGGACTCCGGCCGAAGGAAGACTCCCACGTGCTCAGCAAGTGGTTCACTCTTGCTCAGGAGTGTAGTGAATTTGGTCTTCCCTTGGCCAAACGGCGCTGAGGTGATATCGCACCCGGCGAATGCGTTAGTAAATAGTACCGTCCCTGGTGATCGCTGGGAGTCCTGGTGGTTGTAGGAGTTGGTATAGAGAAATGACAGCAACCTGCTTCGCTCTTCGTGCCCTTCTGAAGGTAGACTATTTTTGGTTATCAGCCGTTTTTGAGACAACCGCTTGGCCTACCAGATATCAGTCTACTCTCGAATGAAAGCTAATTAAATTAACTGAAACGTAATTCCACATTTTATTTGACGTGGGAAGCGTATTTTAGAAGATAATTCATAGAATATGTGACCATTTTGAAGAAATTCCACTTTTTCGAAAAAATTGTCCATTTCCGAAGAACTGTCCCTTGGGAACCAATAGCTATATGGAGCTCGCCTTGGCCTCGAATTGTAGCAGATTCAGTTATCTTCAAAAGTTCATGGGGTGACAATCGCGGTCAAACCCTTTCTCCTCTGAGATATTGAGCGAAAACTGAAATAAGTCCGAAAATTTCATGGTTTTTTGGGTATACTGTCGCTCGCACAGAACTTTGGAAATTGCAAATCTGTTGTTTTAATATTGGTTCAGGTCTTAACAACATATAAAATATTCAGAATGACCAGACCTTTTGCAAGCACGGATGTACATCTTGATTGGACTAATATTCGCATTTAAATATTGTACGAGTGAGAAAATACGTAATAGTTATCAAATACCTCTTTGGTGAATACATTCAGGCATAAACAATTTTCTGATCCGGTGTATATGCTGACAAGATTCTTTGCGTAACATTCATCACCCTCTCTCGTAGCATCTCGTATACCATCCCATTGGTCTGGAGGTAGTGGAGCCTGTAAAATAGGTCATGTTGTTATCGAATCAAAAATGTGAAAATGAATCTGAAATATGTTTTCTTCAAGGACTTGGAAAATAACATAATAACTTTTTTATTCATCTTTGTACATGATTTGGCACTGCTCTACAAAGTGGAACAGCGTCACCAAGAGTTATTCTCTAGTTGAAAGTTTTGGAGTTGAGTTTTCTCATTTTTTTGCATAATACAATACGGATACGGGATTTGTCTATGTTGGACAGAACTGCAGAAAGGGCAAGAACATTTCCCGTGGACGTATCAATGAAGAAGTGAAAGGTCTTAGAGATTTTTTACGGTGTTACAATGGTGTCACATCCGAATAGAGAAACTGCCTCCCGAAGAATATGTTCTTAACAACCAACTGGTCCACCCCTAGGGCGATCTAGGCTCAGAAGTATAATGACTAATCTAGGTATTCGGACACCACAACAGGCATAAAAACGCTCGAACTTAAAAAGATTCATCGTTCAACTTGCGCTGGAAAGTGATAAGAAGTACTACTACAGGGTGATCTATTCGGATGTGACCAATGTCGTATAATTTGGATTGAACTTCCTTCAGGTAAGTCGTTTAATCCTTGAATATAATGAACACTACGGACACTAATACCAATAATTATAAATGTTTAATGGCCCAACAGGGATACTTTTCTTACATTAATAAGCCAACCCGAATAACCAAAGACACCTCTAGTATAATCGACCATATCTACGTTAAAGTATATCAAGTAAACAAACTTTCGAAAAAATCAAATTGAAATCTTATATTTACAGAACCAATCTCACTGATCACTTTACTATTATGATTTCAATAAAAACGAGATATGTTTTCCCTGACTCTGCAAACAGCACCACTTTTGAAGATACGAACACTTATATAAATCACAATAAACTGAAAAAATTCCTTGAAAAAGAAAACTGGAATGATATTCTCGACTCAAATCAACCAGAATATGCTTACAGATTGTTTAGTCATGAGATCACTGAATTTATCAACGCATCTAAAGATTCTATACCCACTAATAAAAATCGAGCAAAAAAATTTTTGAACCCCTGGATGACCATGGTTCTTTTAAATTCTATAAAATACAGGGATCACCTCAAAAAAAGATTGCATAAAAAAATTACTCGGGAGAACTCCAAATAGAATACAAGACATACAGAAACTACTTCAATAATCCCATCAGAACTTGAAAAAAATAATTATTATATCAATAAAATCCACGAAGCTCAAGATAATCATCGAAAAATTTGGCAAAATATAAATGAAATGTCCAACAGCAACTCGAAATGCTAAGACAAATATAACATTGTAGATGATGAAGTCCAAAATATCTCCGAGGATAAAAACAAATCAAATCACTTCAATAGTTTCTTAGCAAATATTGGACAACAAATGGCATAAAGAATTGATGAGCACAACACTTTAGCAGAAAGGGACTCTAATATTGCAGATTCTTTCTTCTTGAAACCTGTCAAAGAAAACGAGGTTATAAAAATCATATCCACTCTGAAGAACAACAGCTCTGTGGGCCCTGATGGTATATCATCACAAGGATATGTATCTAGTGCCTTCAAACACTCTTTCACGATTCCAATTTCCAAATCTGGCAACAAGGAATTTGCCACAAACTATAGGCCAATAACTGTCACCAACAATTTCGCCAAAGTTTTCGAAAAAAGCTTGAAAAATAGACCAGTTCAATTCCTGGAGAATGAAAATATATTATATGAATGTTAGTATGGATTCAGAAAACAGATGTCAACTGAAAATGCTGTATTTCACTTGGTTCACAGTATATGGAATAATTTCAATACTGGGAAAAAGTGCCTAACAGTTTTTCTGGATTTGGCGAAAGCCTTTGACACTGTCAATCATCAAATCTTGCTGGGGCGGTTAGAAATCATAGTTAGTTGAACACAAGTCTTTTGAGCCTAAACATCGCTAATACGAAATATGTTTCGTTGACCCCCACAATTGAAGATCAATCGTCCAAGAATACGCTCACTATACACAATCATACTTGCCAAACCCCAATGATAGGCACCAGTCCTAAAGTTGATAAGGTCAACAATATGAAATATCTTGGTGTATATGTAGATCAACATCTGCGATGGAAGGAACATGTAGATCAGACAGTTGAAAGACTTAGCAAATTATCCTATAAATTCTACCAACTCAGAAATATTGATAATAAAAAGCTCCTAATAATGATATATAACTCACTCGCTGAATCAGTCCTGAGGTAGCAAAAACTTGTTAGATAACCTTGGGGTAATGCAAAATACTATATTAAAAATAATATTCAAACGTGAGAAAAGATACTCCACTATAGCACTATACAAAGAAACAAGCTCATTTGATGTGAGAAAATTATGCACCTATAATTGCATACCTACTATGGATGCATAATAACCCAACCCCTTACATAAATCATAATTATGAAATTCGAGCTAAAGTTCATCAAAAAACGAGTGTCCCTCTCTATAGATTAACCCGCACTCAAAGATTCATATCATACTCTGGCCCAAAATTAATGAACCTAGTTCCTACAAAACTCAGATCAATTTCTAATAAACATAAGTTCAAGTCGAAATTGAAAGAATATGTGAATCAAAATTATGACTTATTGAAAACTGTATATTAGATATAAACCACATCTTACTGAAGGTAATACTATGAAGTAACTAAACAATTCAGCCTCACCACTGTCTCTTTCCACCAGACCTATTTTCATTGTTATGTGCAATTTATATATTTTTTTTCTCCTTGTTCCCTCACTAATATTTGTGTTTATTTCATTATTCCTCGACTGTACGCACAAGATGACCCCTCAAATTGTACATAGGTAGCCAATTGTATATTAAGCAGTATAAGTTGTTTATAGGCTGATGAATACAACTCAAGCTTTGCTTAGGTAGCTCAGCCTTTGAAATTGCCTTTTTACGATTTAATGTATTCAAACTATATGTAAAATATGTAATTACCTGAATAAATTTCATTTCATTTCAATCTCCACCAAATTTGAACCGGTATGGATAATTAATCATCGGCATATACAGTTTTTCAATGACAAACATGATTTTAGACAGTACCGTGCGTTCTTATCGAAATTGAAAGCGGTCATTTTATGAAATCATACCAGGAATTTTTTACAGGAAATCTTACTATATAATATTGTTTTTCACAGTTTCAAACTCCTATAATGTGAATTTTCATATAATTCCTATGATCGATTTCAAGAAAACAGGCATATATCCAAACAGCATTATCGCGAATGTAATAATTATTCACTCGGAAACGGTGAGTTCAACATGGAATAGTATATTTGGGTTTCTTCTTTTAAGTCAAGATTTTATTTCTACCGTAGCCATTGAACGTTTCAGAATTTGCAGTCAATTTTTTCCCTATTTTTTTGAGGCTGAGAATGTAAGAATTATTCCTATCTTGTTCTTTCGGAATAAAATGATTATTTTATGAAGAGGTTCGGAAGCATGAGAAAACAATAATATGAAATTAGTTTCCTTGCAAAAAAATCCTAATATGATTTCATGAAAATCGACCAATTTTATTTCAATAAAAAAGCACGGCACTGTCCAAAAGTATGTTCGTCTCTGAAAAACTGATTCTATTGATGATTTTTTATACTGGTTCAAATTTGGTACGAATCGCATGACTAATAGCTTAGATATAGAGGGGGGTTCAAAGTGAAACACGCATATGCCATTGCTTCGCAAAAACTACTAGTATCATACTCACATCATACAGGATGTTTTCTTATCTCTCACACAACATGAAAGGAGTGAATCCTGACTTAATTTCAAGAAAGAAATGTAACAAAGTTTTTTTCGAATGTCGCTTAGTTTTCAAAATACAAGGTGTTCTAATTTCGTTCAGATAATTTTTCCAAACAGCCTGTATTTCGAAAGCAAAGCGCCATTTGAAAAACTTCATTCAATATTTTTGCCTTCTTATCAGGTAATTGTTGCAAGCGACTCAAGAGAAATATTTATTCCGTGTTTATTATGGTATTTGTATAGTCTAAGGACATGCAATAAAGTGTTTTTTATTTTTCATCCCTAAAGAAAAACGAGTTACGTAAACACCTTGGGATATAAAATGTTGTTACATCAATTGGTTACTCAGGAAAAAATTTTGAAATTACATGGAAAGTTAGTGGCGTATATTTTTTGGTCAATAATATTGGTTAATAAGGTGCACCTCTAGAGGCCACTGGATTTGATAATTTACAAAGTTAGTGGCGTTAATTTTTTTTGTTTCAATAATATTGGTTAAGGTGCATCTCTAGAGGCCACTGGACTTGATAATTTATTTATATCGATGGCTAAATGAAACTTCTTATAACAATAAATGATATCACCGATTCTCAACGAAATTAGGTGAAACATGTCTGATATGAAAACAAGAAACCGATTCGAAAACAATATTTGAACACCTTGTACTCTGAAAACGAAGCGACATTCTAAAAGGAACATTTCACATTTTCATCTTGAATTCTAACGAGGATTCGCTCCTGTCATGCCGTCAGAGAAGTAAGGAAACACCTTGTATATCGGTCGTGAACGCGATACTATCAAAGTTTAATTCCACCTTTAAAATTTGAGAAGCGACGGGGCGGCACTGTTTAAAGTTACTAACACCTAGCTAGATTGTTGACTCACCTTGAATCGCAATTCGCCAAGTGGTGGCTTTGCGTATGGTATTCCTTGAAAACTGAAGAAAGATTCATCATTGAAAGCACTTTTAATAGAACCTATCAGTTGTCCTTCTTGAGTCGATACTATCGGCTCCTCCATTTGTAAACGGATTTTCTTGATAAAGTTACTACCGGCACACAAAACAATATAGCGTTGAGTTTATCTCTGTAATGATTATCAGAGACCTGTCGGAGAAATCAAACCTCTATTATGATATTGAATGGCAAACCTTGAACGTTGGTATTACCCACAGAGTCGTAGTTGTTTTATTTTTATTGATTATAATGATTCCAGGAATCCCCACAGAAATCTGTATAGTATGAATCTCGGTATGAATCAATGCTGTTTGAAATGTTAGACTATACAGGGTGTTTCATCACTAATTGGAAATATTTCAACCATAGAATCCCGAACTCAAAATTTGAAGATTTAACCCAAATCACCTAAATAAAATATGTCTCTTGCCTGAGTTACAGGGTGTTTTATTCAAAAATCTTGAAATATTTTTTGCACAGCTCTTCAAAACTATTTGACGTATCACTTTCATATTTGGAGGGGAGTGTAGGTATTATACATCCAACTGAGTTATGTGAAATGAATTTTTCTAGCTATTACCAGTGGCGTACGCCAGGAGCAATTAACTGGTTGATCCCTCCCAAATTCCACGCCACTGGCGGAATTGCAATTCTATCACAAATTTTCGATTCTCCATTAATTTCGACGTAGATACATTGTACTCCTTCTTCATGGCGATAAAGTCATTATTTTTCGAGATATTTCAAGTTAAACATAAATCTGCACAATCATTTTGATTTCAATATGCATCAATTTTGTCAATATTTTGGATCAATGGATTGTATTAAGCAATAAAATGAAACTCCAATTCATATTAACAATAAAAACATAATTATATAACAGACAGGAGCTGTTACAGGGTGTTTAATTATGTATTATATTAAAAAATTTGAAACGCCCTGTAACAGCTCCCGTCTGTTATGTTTTTATGTTGATATGGATTGAAGTTTCATTTGATTGATGAATGCAGTCCATTGATGAAAAATATCGACATTATTGATACACATTGAAATCAAAATAATTGTGCTGCTTCATGTTTAACTTGGAATATCTCGAAAAATAATGACTTTATCGCTATGAAGAAGGAGTACAATATTTACGAAGAAGGTATTGAAAAATTCAGATGAAATTGCAATTCCGCCAGTGGCGTAGAATTTGGGAAGGATAAACCAGTCATCTGCCCCTGCCTCGTACGCCTCTGGTAATAACTAGAGAAGTTTATTTCACATAATTCACTTGAATGAATGATACCTACACTTCCCTCCGAATATAGAAGTGATACGTCAAATAGGTTTGAAGAACTGGGCAAATAACATTTCAAAATTTTTTAATAAAACACCCTGAAACTCAGACAGGAGACATATTTTATATAGGTGATTCGGGTTAAATCTTCATATTTTGAGTACGGGATTCTATGGTTGAAATGTTTCCAATTAGTCATGAAACACCCTGTATAGATACTTTTTCATTTGGTTCGTCTTCTTAGATTACACGAAACCTGAATAGTTTTCCTTTCAAAACCATTGTGGCATTTCATTATTTTCTTGTCATAGATATACTATTTTACTATAGGAATTAGTTTCCAGGGGAGCACTATGCAGAAAAAACCTAGAGGGCTTCGTGGATCAAAGGGCGCAAAATGAAATGATTGTCTGAGAGACATTATATAGTGTGGACCACTCGAAAGCAGCACACCTCAATAAAATTTGTATTGATTAACCGATTTTGACGAACTTTTTCTTAATATTGTGGGTATTGAAAAACTGTACTGTAGGATTTCTGTTTCCTAAACCAAGGCCTTCTGCGTATGTTTTGAGGTTAAAATTCGAAGAATCATATGAGCGATTCTTCAACGCAAGAATTCGAAATCATCATTTGATTCAGCACCCCATCAAATAGTGTGATAACAAATATCCCATAATAATAATTACGCTGATACTCAGTTCTTCTACTATGTGCGATCTGGACTCGTGAACTTTTTTTTCTATTTCTTGCAGCGCACGAAAGGAAATTTCTATTATGTTCGAAGAACATCGTGCGTACCTTGGGAGGACAGAGAGAGGAGGTAGGTGTTGAATTTATTGCTTGCACTTTCGAAGGTAATAAGTTCTTAGGCATACAATACCCCAAAGGAATAATAGTTGTGTCAGGTCCAAGGAACATGGCGGTTATTGAATGAACTGATATTCAGCTATTAAATTATTAATAATAATAGTATAATATCAATAGTTTTATTTTCCACCACATATTACAATTGAATATATTTAATTTAATGAAAGTCATAATAATTAATAAAATGGAAGAATCACCAACACACATTTTGACAGAGTATATGAGAATAACACAGTGAGAAAAAGGCACATTGATTCAGCTAACAGCAGATACTGCCTCTGTTCTTCCTTCATCAGATATTCAAGAAAATCATTTTACAGCGTAATGACTGATTTATGTCAACGTTCAAAGAGTTTTTGAAGGAATGATAAAAATAAAAGGAAAAGAAGAACGGAGAAAGAGAAAACAGAGACGGGAAAGAGAAAAGAAAGCATTATTTCTAATCAAGGCATGAGCAAGCATGAGTAAGCATGAGTTTACTAGGAGTCAAATAAATATTTTTTTAATTTATCACGAAATGCTACTGTCTAGTTTAAGAATATTATTAATACAAATTGCGGCATTGCGTCTGTTCTGGATTTCAATTTCTTATGGAGATAGGGTGGTGCGTTCGATTTGAATATGTTGTGGAACTCAGTGGAACACACACGCCATATGATGACGTCGCCTATTATACATATTAAGCCATTTCAATTGTTTGAGCTTTTCCGAAATAGATATTCGACTAGATTTACGTATGCCATAAATAAGACGAACACGCGATGTTTGGACTTTTTGTATTCGGCGAGCATCTACTCCGTTCAAACAAGGACTGTATACTACATGGCAGTGGTCTATAGAGCACGTTGGAGTGAGACTACATAGTGGGGAAACTTTATTTGCAGTGTACAACAGTCCCAGAAATAACTTTACTGAAAACGACCTGGAGGCCCTGTGTGGTGCTGGGAACAAGGTAATTATAGCTGGAGACCTCAACGCGAGGCATGCTGATTGGGGGAATCACATCGATAATACAAATGGAAGAACTTTGAGAAGGTTCGGGATGGCTGCCAATATCAATATCGAAGCTCCAAACGCTCCTACGCACCTCCCCTTCAATGGAACGTCACCTACCATCATTGACCTGATGGTGACTAAAAACGTTGTGGACGTTACGAAAATCCGGGTTGTAGACGAGATGAGCTCTGACCATCTTCCGGTCCTTTTCGAATCAGGCACGAAAGTGCCGACATTAAAAAATCTATTTTCGATTATAAAAGAACCGACTGGAGGGTATACAGAGCTCATCTAAACGAAAATACAATAATAAAATCCAATATCACCCTGGATGAAATCGACGAGCAAGTAAAAACCCTCGTCAAGAACATCCAGGATGCAAGAGCAGCATCCACACGTAAGGTCACCATCAGCTCCACTAAGGACCACCTCCCGGATGATATTCTTGACCTAATCGCTCAAAGGAAACGCGCTAGAAAAACGTGGCGACGGGTAAAAACACGAGAAAGCAGACTAGAGTTCAGAAGACTCGGAAGCCTAGTCGACAATAGAATTCGTGAGGTCAGGAATGCAGCCTGGAGAACCAAAGTGGAGAATTTGAGTCCACAGGACGGCACCCTATGGAAGATGACAAGAGGACTTAGACGAAGGTTCGAACCCATTCCTTCTCTAGAGTGCCGCACTGGGGATGCGGTGACAGATCCTGAAAAGGCGGAGGCGCTTGGAAGCTATTTTCATAGTATCAATAAAATAGACAAGACCCCTCAGAACGATCAGAAAGTGGAAGTATTGAGGTTGGCAGCCAACTATCGGACCATTCCTAGTATCCCTTTGACCCGTCGAGCCCTCAGCAAATTCCTAACCACCCCAAAGAAGGTGTCAAATGATATAAGATGTCTAACCCTCAATAAAGCTCCAGGACCCGACGGTATCGATGTGATTCTCATGAAAAACATGCCTCGAAAAACCATTGTTCAATTACACTACATTATCAATGCTATTATCAGGACACAGCACTACCCAGAGTCCCTAAAAACTGGGATTGTTGTGCCCATTCTGAAACCAGGCAAAAATCCCAAATTACCAGGTAGCTACCGCCCTATCTCTCTGCTCAGCATAGTAGCCAGAGTCATAGATAAGACAATTCTACATATGGTTGACACTCTTGCAGAAGACCTGAGTGTGATCCCTCCTGAGCAATTCGGGTTCCGCAAGGGACACAGTACAACGTCCCAAGTTGCTCGAATTGTTCACGGGATCAAAGAAGCCTTCAGCCAAGATGAAAACACGGTTATGGTCCTGATGGATATTGAAAAAGCATTCGACACCGTTTGGCACGAGGGGTTGATGTATAAGTTGGCATCTGCAGGGATGCCCATGTTCATTGTTAAGTTGATCGACTCGTATTTAGCCCGTCGCAACATTAAAGTCAAAATTAACAACACTATTTCCAGACAATTTCCACTCGAGGCAGGTGTTCCACAGGGGTCGTGCATTTCACCTCTGCTGTACTCTTTATATACTTATGACCTTCCTGTGTGTGATAATGCGAGTACTGCATTATATGCGGATGATACTGCAATATATGCACACTCGTACTTCTCAGATGTCGCCAGGGCTCAGATCCAGGAACACCTGGACAGGAGGGTCATTCCGTATCTTGACAACGCGAAGATTGGAATAAATCATGCCAAAACAGATATCATAAACTTCTCTAGAAAATTCACAAACAACACTTTATTCCAACCTTTGCGTGTCAAGGACACTGAGGTGGAGGTCAAGGCCTCCGTGAAATACCTGGGAGTCAAACTGGACAGACGTATGAACTTCTTCGCTAATACTGGATATCTTTTAGCAAAAACCAACGCGACAATCAGGAGCTTGTATCCTTTGTTGGCAAGGAATTCCTCGCTATCACTGGACAACAAACTCCTGATTTACAAACAAATAATCCGGCCAACATTAACATACGCCTGCCCAGTATTCTGTAGTATTTCGTCTACT